CATTTGTAGCCACCATACCCTCTATGTTTGCTAAAACATCAGTGTGCTATAACCCAATTATTTACTTCCTGTTGTATAAGAAATTCCGAGATAGCATAGGACAGACATTGCGATCGTCATGTTGCCAAGACTCGGGTGCTGTGGACCACCTGTAACGCATATGGACGTTTCTGGCTTACTGGAATCATGAGATTGAATTATTAAGCTTGTGAAACTGTGGACTTTACCGCGGTCTGGGTGTTACGCTTAAACGTAGCCCAACCCTTTGCCTTTTCTCGCTCGGCCCCAGTGCCAGCACTCAAGCCTCTGTGAACAACCAGGATATTTCAACGGGGCTAGCTGGTATCTTGGGGTTGCAGAATTAATGGGGTATGTTCCCAAAATGTTGCAATCTGAGAAATAGAATTGCCTATTTGAAAACCGTTTCACAAGAAACACTAGCAATGCCGCAAAGTAGAAATTACAATGAGCTACCTGACCAGAGTGTTTCCCTTTATTTCTGCCATAACATTCACAAGCTTTTTCAATTTTTGTTTTTTTTAGTTTTGGTTCTCCAAAAGGGGGTTGGCTAGCCACCCAATCTAACCCCCTCCCCCACCTGAATCCGCCCGTGAACCGTCTGTACGACAGGCATTGCTTATGCTAATCTTAATGAAAAATCTTTTGTAACATGTAAGTTGACGAATAATAAAAGGCGATTCACTATGGGCTTCTTATCTAGATTTTCTTCCATGTAACGTTTACGGTAAAATTTTTGTATGATTTTGGACTGTGATTTATATGAATAATAAATAATGCGTTTGCGTATGCACAACAAGAACGAAAACATATCTTTCTATTATTTGATGATAATTAACAGTGTTTATGGAAGTCAAGCGGACAAAACCGGAGAAAATCTGTAAGACCTATAAAAAGCCAAAAATATACATCCTCCAGAAAGGATCTTACAGTTACTCCACAGCTAAAACAAAATACCTTATACGCTAAAGCAATTGTGATCTTCTGGAAGTTCTTTTCGTAACCCCAAGTCCTATGTAGACTATGAGTTGCGCGC